CTGCCTTCTTTCACCTGCGCAATATTGCAAAAATCAGGAGCATCCTGTCTCAAAGTGATGCTGAAAAACTGGTCCATGCATTTGTTACTTCCAGGCTGGACTACTGTAACTCTTTAGTATCAGGATGTCCCAATAGTTCCCTAAAAAGCCTCCAGTTAATCCAAAACACTTCAGCCAGAGTACTGACAGGAACTAGCAAGAGAGATCATATCTCTCCCATATTAGCTTCTCTCCACTGGCTCCCTGTAAAATTCAGAATAGAATTTAAAATCCTTCTCCTAACATACAAAGCCCTTAATGACAAGGCTCCATCGTATCTTAAAAACCTCGTAGAGCCTTATCATCCTAACAGAGCACTTCGCTCTCAGAGTGCAGGTTTACTGGTGTTTGTTGTGTCCTGTTGCTTTTCTTCTTTTGTCTCTCCTCTATCCACTCACCCCAACCGGTCGAGGCAGAAGGCTGCCCACCAAGAGCTGGGGTCTGTCAGAGGTTTCTTCCGTTAAAGGGAGTTTTTCCTCCCCACTGTCGCCAAGTGCTTGCTCAAGGGAGATTTGTTGGGTTTTCCCTATGTAATAATATTGATAACAGTAAGGTCTAGACCTTACTTTGTAAAGTGTCCTGATGACTTTTGTTGTGATTTGGCGCTATACAAATAAAATTTGATTTGATTTTGATTTGAATATTATGTCAGAACTTAACAAGTGGATACCAGTTCCAAGGTACTGCTTTTGTGCTTCCAGTCTGTCTGGCATGGTTTGCTGGCACAGGTTAGTGGAACAAAGCTGTCATTAAATGTTAATTCCTACACCTGTGCTTTTCCTTCTGCCATGATAGTCCTCATAAACAAAACTGGTACATGGTGGAACACACTTAAGGCACAGTCAGCAGTCAACACGATAGACAAAAGACAGCTCTGGAGAGAAAACGCCAAAGCAGAATGGAGTTGCTAGAAAATGTCAAGTATTGTCGAGCAAACTGGGAAGACATTGTCTACTGTGCTACAGTACATGGGCCTGACAATCAACATCTTCATCACTAAATGGTGCTTCATCATCTAAATTAGAGTCACAAAGTTCTCTTAGGATATTTACATGTTATATTTTGAGATTTAAACAAAACTGCTAAAATTGTATGGGTGTATGTATGTACATATGTGTTTAATGTACAATATAAGCACCATTGTTACTGCTGCCCCTTCATAGTAGTTTATCCTCAAGTAGAATATAGTATGTGCATTTGTTTTCAGCACTAATCACCGTTGAAGATTTCCATTAGTAATACACTGACTCATTTTTTTTTTTTTTTTTACAGCAGACATTTTGACTAGCCATAGTGAGAAAAACACAGGTGTTACCAATAACATGAACAATGTCTCCTTTCTATTAAGGTGTCTCATTGCGCCAGCATGGTCAACAGCGGGGCCTTGAAACATTTTATTGTTTATATCCGTTTCCTACTGTGACATATCAAACTGTTTTCCTTGAAACTAACTGTTTACTCCAACATATTGGTTTAGAATTTAGATACTGATGAGCTTAAATTGGTGTCTTTTGTGCATCTGCAGGGAAGATACAATGCTAACAGTGTTTGAGCGTATTTACAGTCTGAGCAGCGTAGAAATTGTAGCTCTTTCTTTATATAATCCCACAAATGTAGGACACTGCAGCAGTACAAGGTCCCTTAACAACCAAAATAACCAAAGCCTTGGTCAGTGAAATGTTTGTGACTGTCCACATCAGTCATCTGACCTAAATCTAAATTTGCTTCACTTACCAAATGCGTTGCTGCAGACAAAAAGCCCACAAAACATGCCAAACATCAGCAAGAGAGATAACCACCCACAATGGGTCCTGGACCTTAGCCAGTCATCAATATTGGTGTTTGCACAGGATCTGGATATGAGTTTTAAAGGGCTATTGAACTTTTAACATCCCACATGTTTGAAGGCAGAGTAACTACATCTGAAGTGTTCATATAGCTTCTAAATGTGTTAATCATTATCTTCTGCCTGTCTTCTTTTTCTGTTCACAGTTAACGGAGTTAAACACATTTTTTCTCAAGCACATTTTCGTCTTTCCCGCAAGCCATGCTCTTAGCTGGTGTCGAATCCTGTTTGTTGGTATCATCACAGCTCCAACAGTGAGGTAAAAACACAATTTTATTAGGAAGAAAATATTTTTGAGATAGTGCACTTTGTTTAAAGCTTATGTCCAGTTTGTTCCTTTGACAGTCAGAAAATTGCTGTTGAAGAAACTGCAGGTGAAATGTACCGGTGTTAACATTGTTTGTTTTTTGCTTCAGGCAGTATTATGCATACCTCACAGACACACGGTGCAAGAGAGTCGGGACGCAGTGCTGGGTGTTTGGGTATGTGAGACAGTCCTGCTACATTGTATATGTTATTGACAGAAAACCAATATATGTCCCTGAGCTAACAGTGAACATAGTGAGCTCCCAGGTGAAAACCCACACATGGGCATATTTGCTTAGAGCTTGTTTTCAGTGAAATTGAAGGTTCATTGCAGGGAGGTAAGAGGTTTCAGTTGTGTGTCTGTTTTTTTTCTCCCCTCATTCACAGGGCTATTGGCTTTCTGGAGGCCTTGGTGTGTATTAAATTTGGACAGGACTTATTCTCCAAAACACAGATCCTCTATGTGATCCTCTGGCTACTGTGCTTGGTAAGATCAGACTCGCAGGCATTTCTAAATTACTGCAGTCATCTACAGCTAATAGTAGGCTTATGATGCTTTAGGATATATTTTGTGTCTTAACTTAGCACCCTCCAATGTCAAAGCTGTCTGAGCTGTAAGATACTGATTATAGATTTTGTTACAGCAGATAGTAATGTTATGTTTGATCTGTGGTTAGGCCTTCATTACATTCCTGTGCCTCTATGGAATGGTCTGGTATGCTGAAAGTTATGGTCCAAGAGAAAAGGTATGTATATTTCTTTGGATTTACTGTCTTTAGCCTTGTTAAGTCTTTGAGAAGGTTCAATAGAAAAAGTAATTAACCTTGCTCTTTGTTTAAAAGTACAGGACCGTAACCTTGTCATATTGTGTCCTGCAAACTGGTTTTTGTGTTTGCTTCAGTCCCTGAGGTGATGCTGGTTTACACACCTACAACAGAAGCCCCCTGTTTCTATGCACCTTTTCATGTTAATGTGAAGGCAGTTTTCAAGATCAAGTTTTTTTTTAATTGTCAGTTCACTACATGTGCAGGACATTAGCTCACGACTTGACTACTGTAATGCCCTCTGTACTGGAATTAGTCTCAACTCCATAGACTCCAACTCGTACAGAACGCGGCTGCTCGCCTACTGCCAAACACTCCAAAGTATGCTCACATCACCCCGGTTCTTCAGTCCTTTCACTGGCTTCCGGTACAGTTTCAAATAGATTTTAAAATTTTACTGTTTGTGTTCAAGGCCATTAATGGTCTTGCGCCAGTCTATTTGACCGATCTTTTAACTATTTAGACCCCGGTCAGAGCGTTCCTCTGAGCATGTGTCTCTGGTTGTCCTGCGGGCAAGGTATAAAAAGTGGAGAGATTGTTCTTTCGCCGTGTATGCCCCCAAGCGCTGGAATGCCCTGCCCCTTGAGGTTCGATCTATAACGGAGTTAATGGTTTTTAAGTCTAAATTAAAGGCACATTTATTCAGACTGGCTTTGGGCATGTAATATTTAGCATCCGAGTCAGTTTTACAGTTTTAAGTCAACGCAGCAGTTTAATATGCTGGGCCCAGTAATATTTCCTTAACACCTGTAATTGTAGATGGAGCACAAGGGTAGATACTCCACATGTCAGATCATTCTGTAAAAGTCATTAAAATCTATTGTTAATGCTACCTTATTCCTTTTCCCTCTCATGCACAGACTTTCTTGGACGTCATTAACTTGTAGGCCTATGCCCTTTAAAGCTTCTTAGGGTTCACTATGGGATTGGTCAGCTGTTGTATGTTTCCTGTCTAGGTAATTTTTGTGTGTCATGTGTCTGAACCTCTTCGCAGAGCCTCTCGGAATGTGAGGAAAGTACATATACAGAATCCACTGACTACATGTCTGAAGCGTTGAAAGGTACAGTGACTTTAATCACCAACCAAATAAAAAGGCTCATGAAAGTATACAGTACATCAGTCTTTAACCATTTACCTGTAAAAGGCTGACACTTAGTGTTTGCTATAGTGTCTTGCTCATTCCATAAATGGTCAAACTTCAGTTACATCTTTTCACAAACTCATTTCCAAGTATTTGATCATCTCGTTTCAGGAGAGACTGAGGTAGACGGTGACAGCTCTACAAGCAGATGGAGGGGGAAGGGCCCAGGAAAGACCAAATCCATCAACGGCCTGGACAGCCAGTAGGTAGTGGCTGGTGAGTGACTTCTGAAGTCACTCCGGGGAGCCAGGTGTGAAGGATCCCAGGTTGAATAAGGGGTAAAGATGTGTGGCCATTTCTGTTGTAATTGTTGTCTAGAAGGCCCCCATCTACACTAGAGGGAATGGAGACAGGTGAGACCAAGAGGATGAACAGATCCATGCAGTGTTATTAGAAGTACGCAGAGGTGTTGACTACAGAGATGTACACTAAAATGTGTGCTGTGGTCATAAGAGCTCCTAAACCACTGACTGTGTGTGTGTGGTTGGGGGGGGGTGGAGAAATTGTGGTATTTTGTGTTTGTGAGATGAAGAGATGGCAAAAACTGCTGATTTTAGATGTGACTGCATGATCATTATAGCTGACAAAGTATAATTTACTTTTATCCTTTTATACAGTATATCAATACTGGTTAATGTACAATGGCTTTAGAAAGTACAGTGTTCAGACTCTTTAGCTTTATGTACACTAGGTGTTATAAATTTGAAATGGATAAAATTGACATTTTTGCCCGTCGGTCTAAACTCAAATTATGACAAAGTAAAAACATGTTTTTAGAAATTTTAAGTAAATAACTTAAATCTCATTTACAAAAGTATTCAGACCCTTAAAGGATGAGGTCGGTCATTTTCTTTATTAACAGTATTTTCAGAATTCCACATACAGAGAATAAAACCAACAATGAATTGTCTCTACTCACAGTTAATGCCCATCAGTGTGTCAGTCCTGAATTAGCTTCTTCGTCCGTGTTGTTCAAAAATGATTAAAAACACGTCAGTGAAACACTGCTGCACTGGGCGACATGTTTCTTCCTTGGCAAACACCAGACCAGAGCATGACAACCTAGCAGAATGTAAACAAAGCAGAGAGCTCTTGTGCATGCGCAGTTGACTCTGACTCGTGCTAACTTCAAGATTGTGGTCGCTTGTAGAATTTGGGGCTGCGTAGTCTGGTCTGGGGTTTTGTAATGGGAAAAAAAAAGTCACTCCTTGCAGCGGTGTTTCTCTGATGTGTTTTAATCACTTTTGAACAACAGTGGAGGTGTATGGCACAGATGAACAAGCTAATCCAGGCTGACAGACATTAGCCATGAGCTGTTGGTTATAGTCTCTGTATGGAGATTGCTGAAAATACTGCTTATCTAGAAAATGACTGGCCTTACCCTTTAAATGAGCACTTTATAGAAGCTCCTTTGGTCACAACCACAGCTTCATGTCTCTACAAGCTTTGCACACCTGGGTTTGGGCAGTTTATCCCATCTTTCCTGGCAGATCCTCTCAACCTCCCTCAGACTGGACTGGAAGCATCAGCAAACTACCGTCGTCAGGTCGTTCTACAGGGGTTCTCTGTGGCTCTGGGAGCCATGGAGCTGGAGTCAAATTCCTTATATTTTAAAATATTTGGCAGTATGGTTTATGAATGATTGATGTTTTAAGTTTGTGCTTAAGGACAGTCAGAGACCTATCCCAAAGCCTCCCCAGTGCTGTCTGGTCATTGTCATGGTGAGAGAGGTAGGATTACTGCAGTCTGAGACCATGCTCACTCTGGAACAAGTTTTCTTCAATTACGTCTCTGTATTTGACTGTATTCATTCTTCCTTCAATTCTGACCAGTCTTCCTGTCCCCCCTTGGCTTGATGCTGCCACCAGCATTATGCCATATGATTCTCAGTGGTCTGAATACTTGTATGTAAAGGGGAGATTGTAGTTTTTGATTTTTAATTAGACGCATGTTTCTAGTGTAGAGTGATGGGAAATGCAATATCAGTTTTAAACTACATTTACAACACAGTGTGCAAAATGTGAAAGGTCTGAATATTTTATGAAAATGTATATGTGACTGGTTTCCACCAGCCTCAACGCCAGTATGTTGGTTCAGTGTATTTCAGTGTTAAAAGCCATTATGTGGAATTTATCACATTATTTGGAACTTCTGTTTATAGTGAACAAAGACTAAAAGCTCTTTATTTGTACATGTTATTGTCTATTTACATCATAGATGTTTATAACTTGAATGTGAACAAGATTTCAATGCAAAAAGCTTTAGCTTAATATGATTATTGCCTGAAGTTTGTGTTTGACCTGTAACAAAGCAAAGAACACGGTTTAAGCGCTTTTCAGAATGTATTCGTGGAAATACTGTACATTTTGTAATGGTTGAGTATTGTGTGAATCACTGTGACTTTGAGTGATTTTGCTCTCCCTGTCCATCTTTTTTTTTACTGTACTGTTAACAGAGGGCAGTTATTCAGATTCCTGCATGTGTCGTCAGGCTCTTCCTGTCTTTATGCAAGTGGCTTTGTTTTACTGTCCACCTTCTTGTTATTGCATTTGCATGGTTATGTCAAATCAATTCCTGTATTTGTGTTTTCGTAGAAAAATGTTACAAGATTAGTTAACAGGTCTTTGTATTACATCACACACTAGGATGCCAGTTTTGACGTTTTTATGTCCTCCGCTGCTATCGTAGTATTTGGATCACCCCTTACACCTGTTTGCATGTCCTTTTCTTAGTTTAAGACTACATTTAGGATTCTTGTATTTGATTTTCTGCACCTGAGTGCTATATTGAAGGTTTATTTTCTTTTGCTCTGTCAGTATCGTCTCAAGTACAGATACATCCCTCGTAATCCTTGACAATCCATATGTTGGCCTCTGTGTGGTGGTCCAGGCTGCTGTTCTGCAGTACACACTATAAGTGGTACATTGTCTCTGGATGTAGAAGTCGTCTGCCAAAACCATTTCTGACAATAATGACTTGTGCTGTTCTTTTTCCACTGTGAAATAATGAATCAAATTAAAATGTTTTACTTTTCCTCTTTGTTACTGGGAGAATGCCTGTTTTCTTTCTTAAAATAAAGTGGCAGCACTACACACAAATGTCTTTTTTACTCATTAAGAAATTATCTTTGTAGTTGCTGTCACTGATAACAGTAGGAGGCTGTTTGCCTACTTAACAATAGGAAAGGTCCTTGTTTGACCTCTGAAGAAGGCCCTGCTCCTGTAAAGGACTGCTGGATTGGCTGACTCGAGCACTGCCTGTCTCAGATCAGGTTTCACTACGCCTGCACACCATGAAACACTGAGACTGAAATAGCTTCCTCATGATGACCTGTAACTAGATGTGTTTGAAAGTACAGCTGACACCTCCCCTCACCCCCACCCCAAATAAGAGGGCAATAGAAACCATACAGCTCTAAACATGAGCAGTGGCAGCCGAGGTATAGCTAGCAGTTTGCACCGCAGTTGTGAGGCAGTGAGTATTTAAGCGCCCCTACCAAGGAACACCTCAGGATCTGAGCTTTGATGGCACCTAAACACCTTTCTGTCTGAAAACCTAATAATCATGTATATGATCATTTTTTCTGCGACTCTTCTGTTGTAGCTGGATGGGCTCTAGAAGTCTGCACTGTTCAAAGACAACATGGGCTGTAACCACTTAACCTCTCCAACTTGTGTCTAAACAGATTTCCAAAGGAGGGCAGCAGAGAGCCTCAGTTATGTGGAAAACATCACGTGATCTTCTGGGCCTAAAGCACAGGACATGAGTGTGTGCTCAAATATGTAGCAGTGCTCTGCTTTAATATCCCTCTCCAGATCATTCTGTCTCTCTCACTGGATTTGCGTTTCCTTTTTTTTTTTTTTTTTTGGTTTCTTGAACATCCTGCTGCAGTCTCAGCAGGCTTAACAAATCATCAGGATATTTCAGTCATGGCTACGAGCTCTGGGTCTCTGGGTGGTGGCCGCCTCAGCCCTGAGGGGATTCTGAGACAGATCCAGATCACCTTGCTGGAGTGTAAAGTCTGCTTCGAGAAGTTCAACACTCAGCAGAGGGAGCGCAGACCACAGAACCTTTCCTGTGGCCATGTACTCTGTCTGGAATGCATCACGACTCTGTCCCACCCTCTACTGAGGAAGCTGGAGTGCCCGTTCTGTCGACAGCTGTGCAGTGTTGACAGCACCTCCCACTGCCAGGTTCTCAGTGACCTGCAGGAGCTGCTGTTTCCCCGGAGTCCTGTATCCACTGCTCTTCCCCTCATGGCAAAAGGAGGATTCAGCTTGGCTGCTGATAAGGCATCCACAGCTCTGCGCCTCACCACAGCTTTTGGTGGATGGGGGACTCTTATCAACCCCACTGGGATAGCTGCTTTGGGGTCTTCAAGGACATTAGTGGTGGTGCATGATGGAGAGAAGAGGGTGGTGATGTTCAGCCCACAGGGCAGGAAGCTGCACAGTTTTGGGCGAAGAGCACAAGCCAGTGGGGAGATCCGGTACCCAGTGGATGTGGCGGTGACTCCCTGTGGTTATGTGGTGGTGACTGATGCTGGGGATAAATCTGTGAAGGTTTTCACTTCGAGGGGTCACCAAGTGTTGAAGGTCAAGGATTCCTTCGAGATGCCCTGGGGTGTGGACACAGACAGCTGTGGGCACATCCTGGTCTCAGACATCCAGGCTGGCACGCTGTCCCAGGTAAAAGTGGACTATAGTCGTGGTGTCATTCTGGCCATGCATACAGCCATTTCTGACCTCCGGCATCCAAAGGCGGTGGCCTGTTGTCAAATGACTGGGAACACAGCAGTGATGGAGCATCTGACTAATGACAGACATATACCAGAGAGGCACATGAGGCTGAAAGTGTTTACAAAAGACTTCCAGCTTCTTTATCAGACAGACAGTTTCAGCCTGACCCTGCAGTACACAGTGAGGCTGAACATGTCAGGTGTGGTGTTTGGCAAAGATGGAGATCTGATTGTGATTGACTCCAATCAGGGGATAATTTGGAGTTTAGGGAAGCCTCAGAACGGCCCATCCCTAACTCCTCTTGTGGGAGACCACCTTATCCGCCCAGCTGGACTGGTGTCAGTGAACAACATGCTCATCGTTCTGGACAGTGGAGACCATGCCGTGAAGATTTATTCTGCTAAATCTGATACTGGACCCATGGCATAGCTCAGCAGGCCTACAGTAATACAGCCTATCATGTTAATAAAGTAATTAGGTAACCTGGAAATACTGCTCAACAATATAAGTAAACTCTTACATGGAAAAAAAAACGTACCGAAGTGAAAAATGTGAATGTAAAAAATCATGTGCTATAGGCTGCTCTTTACTTTGTAGTACTGGTAATGCATTCATGTCAAAGTAATGGTTTTGCCATGTCTGAATGTTATTATCCCAGCTTTGGAAAAAAAGAGTATCACCTAAAAATACATACTATATTAGTTTCCAAACCAGGTTGTCAGGATGTCACAAAGTCACCCCAAGAATAATCACAGGGGTCACCGGATGATTGAAGGAAATATGTCTTACATACAAAACTGTTTCTCTTATATTTGCTATTTTCTTGTGAAACAATTTGACCTTTCTGTGGCCAAAAAAAAAGAATATTTAATTAAGAATCCTTCAATTTAAAAATAATATAAAAAAATACATAAAATTTAAAAACTCTTGGTTGAAAGGTACAGTTTGTGTCCATAAGGCCATAAAGCTGTGATCAGGGGTTGAACACAGAGAAATCACCTCACAAGTCAAACGACTGGAGAAAATGTTATACAGAGCTGTAGCTGCTCAGGTCGTGTCTTTTATTTTACTGGTAGTGTAGTTTACATGCTATAACTACACATCATGCATTTTAATGGGCCTCAGCGATTATTAATTGATAAGCTGATAAACACATCCATGTTAGAGAAAGAGAGAAATAAAAGGCTTTTTGATGTTAAAAATATTTTAGAAATCGAATTATTTTGGTTGAGTTGAACTGACATGAGTTGGGTTAAGGGGGACAGAGACCTGACATCAGTATTTTCAACCAACTTGGTTAAATTGGACGTTTTTTGTTAATTGAACAACAAAATCTCCCATAAAACGTCTACGTCTTGCTTATGGTTATTATTAATACTATGTAATAAAGAATACATGGCTACCTCCCTTCTTGTCCTGTGATGCTCATCGTCCCTGTAGCTATGCAAATCAATTTACCTCACCCTTCTCCCCCCAACACCCTCCCCACCAGCGGCGCGGTGCGTAAATCCTTTCCCCCTTTTTGGCACCGCCGTCTCCAGTCTGCCTGAGGAGAGCAGTCGTGCTCCCAGTGGAAGATGGCGGTGGGGATGCTGTGTGGAGCTGGAGCAGAGTGTCGGATTTGCACAAGAAGCGAACCCGAATGGATATAAAAGGAAAACGATGAACATATTCCGATCTCTTCTCCTCGAGATCCGGACTCTTTTGGGGCTGTTTCAGTAGAGCCTGCTGTCTTTTCTGTGGCTGATGAAATCCGGGCTCCTCGTCGGGGATTCACACAGTGTACGTTGATAGCTCTGCGCACAGACAGGGTGGGAGAGAAAAGTGGACGAAAATGTCGGATACAAAGGTAAAAGTTGCAGTGAGAGTTCGGCCCATGAACCGCAGGGGTAAGTGTTATAACCATGATTTTTTGTTTGGAAACTCGCATTTGTGGCTCCTCGGGTGCATGCTACGTTATCATGAAGTTTTGGTTTCTTCGCCATTGCTGCTTTGAGCTTCAGTTACAAGGCAGAAGTCAGACTTGTAGTTTAAACACGACCAAAGTTGGAGAGATTTTACTTTTCACACCCCGCACCGTGCTTTATTTTCTGCAGAAATTGAACTGAATACAAAATGTGTCTTGGATATGGAGGACAACCAAACAGTTCTACACCCACCACCCTCAAACGCAAAAGGAGAGAACAGGTAAACAAAGATGATTTACTATCAGCAAACTACCAGTTTGTTTTTAAATAAAGACATAGGACAGTATTACAAACGATGCCATCTTTTCCCTTAGTGTGTCTATTTGAGTACATGGAAGTAAAACCAGTCTTTGCAGTGCACCCATTATGGGGATTCTGGGTGCTTGGGAAATGTCTGTAAATGCACTCTCACTTTAACAACTTTATCCCACCCTGGCTGTAATACAACAATAACACATTCAAGGTTAGCATGCAACTGCCTATTCACTAACATCCTGGACTGCAAGTCTAGCTCAAATGTCTGGAAGTACTGTACATCAAAACACTAGACAGCACACACCTTATCCTGATACTTATGCAGAGGTCTGCACTGCTCCTGCTGCTGAGGACATGATATCTGCCACCCACCTGCTTGCAATATGATATCTTATGTAATTCATGTGAACTTTCCAAAACTACTCATCACAGAATAATAATAACGCCCACATATTTTGTATATCTCGTGTAGATTAGAGGTTAACCACCGTATTCGACACATTAGAAAGAACAGATTAATGTAGAGCCTTAGGGTGTCACTATAAATCTCAGGGGTCAGAACTAATTTAAGTTATGTACTGTTCTAAGTGGTGTTCCACCACACCGTAGCATTTTAAAATGGCAGGATGCTGCCCACTTTACTGACTAAAAGTGGAGAACAGCTACAACAAATGGAGAGCTAAGTAGCCTCTAATGTTTCACACTCGGCCTGCACGCTGAGGGGCAGCAGAAAAAAAAATGCTGCAGTTGTGCTGCTGGCTTGTGATCTGACATGCTTTCAGATTTCAATGAGGAGATGTCTGGAGTCACTCAACATGTAGGTTAATGATGTCTGCATGCTTGCAAAGTCCTTCAAGTGTTATGGCTGTTAACAGTGGTGACGTGATGTTATAGTTCACATAACTGAATTCATTTTCTTCATCTTTGCTGCTTGGTTTGTCACACATGATTAGACAGCTGACCTGATTACCCACAGGCACAAATATGTGTAAAATGATTCTCATTTACGATATAAAAAATCTCAGATTGTATTGTTTTTAATGATTCGATTTATCAAACAACCTTTTCACTTATTTCAAATGAACAAACAACTCTCCATGTTACATTAAAAGTCCACAGTGTGACTGCTAAAAATAGTCATTTGAGGCAAATACTGTACATACCACAGTTTTCTCATGGCCCACATCAAGCCTTGTTAAAGTGTAACACTTTCTCTGTTTTCCACGTAACCAGCAGTCAGCATTAAATGATAAGAAGCTCAGTCCCCCAGCAGCTTAGATCCACCCATGTACCTGTATTTCAGGCAGTTACCAGAACCGTTGCTGCACAGTGGCATTGTTCCAGGCAATTAAACAAACTCTGCTCAAAGCTAGCACACTGTATGTCGCACAGGATACATAACATCCGAATAAAAAGCCGTTGTGGGTGAGAGGTCGGAGGGATGACAGAAACTGTACAGAGATTCAGTGATGACATCTTCAGGATGTCCTCACGCCGGATGTTTCTACAGCTACTGTACCTGTTGTTGAGTGAGATGAACATTTCCCATTTTCAGGGGAAGTTTTCACATTTGATTTAGATGTTGTATCACTTGTACAGACATTCCAACATGTTTTCAACTTCTGCTGGATTCACTTTCACTGACTGGGTTTATCCGGGGTCTGTTTTTAATCTGCCAAAATTATCAATTGAAGTTTAGTCTATTTGAAGCTGTGCATTCTCTGAGTGACCATTACCTTCTGTTATTTGTTGTTTTATGTTGATACATTTCTATTTTATAGTGTAGTAAAGGCAATATAGAATACTTGTTAAGATTTCAGTCCAGAGCTGTGTGTGTTTTGGGCCTCTGTGTTTAGGCTGCTGTGGTTTTCTTAGACCATATAATTTTTGTCCCTGATGCTTGTGGAGCCACAGAAGGGGGATACCCTGTTCACTAAGACTTGCTGCCTGGCTTTGTTTTGAAGACACCTGCTCCTGTGTGTTGGAAATGTGTCAGATTTACTGGGTATTAGCATGTCGAATATGGCTCCAGGGCTGAGATCACGGGGACCTCTTCTCTTCTCATGAGAATGCTCAGGCACCGACTCAGAAAGGAAACACCACAACAACTCGTTTTGCCCCAGTAGTCTTGCTCAATACCTAAAAACGCTAAATATGGCTTCAATTTAAGTCTCTAGTGGGGTGAACTTGGAGCTGATTCCACGTCGGATCATCTTAAGACCATGAGAACTTCCCAGGTTGTGTCTGTGTTTTAATCAGGTTTGCACAGACCATGAGTGAAAACTTGTAATTCATGTAAATAAGTTGAAAAAAAAAAAAAAGTCCCCCTAACTCTTTGTACTGCAGAGCATTATAACACCCACTTTTCCTGATGAATGAACAATAATGTCTGCATAAGAAACAGATTGTGACCTCAGGGCGACAGGTCAGGTTTCCTGAGTTTCATCTTTCTGCCTGTTAAGGTGACATGAATAGTGTATTTGAAATGTGAATCTGGAAAAGTAGTTTTGTTTTCACGTGCCAGCCTGGTCTCCTCTGGGCTTTATACACAATGAAGGTGGTGGTGGGGGGGTGTCAGCAGAGAAATACCTGAAGCTGCTGTCTGCACAGAGGATGAATGGCAGAGCATCAAGAAAATACCCTCTGAGTCACAATGGGGCCGTATTACATCTATCATGCCCCAGCATGTCTGTCAACATGCAACAATTGAATACAGGGCTGTCGGGTCTCTGAGAATCGTTTTTATGTAAATCCCCGTTCTCTATAAATTTCAGTTGAGTTGTTTCAAAAGCCAAACGCTGACCACAACTAACCTGGCATGCTGGAGTCTGGTCTTTTGTTTTCCTTTTATTGTAGCTAACTGAATGCATGCTGACTTTTGTCTTCTCATACCCCAGTACTACATTTCAGGATGGGCAGTGTATGTCTCTATCCGATGGGGTCTGGAACCAAGCTTCTAATTTCCATTCTGGTCTCATTCTTATTAATAATTGTTACAAGAGCTCTATTGGGTTTATCTCTAGTCAGCTATGTTATCTTGTTCACTTGGGTATTGTAATCTGAAAGCCGTGGAGAGCAGTCATCCACCAGGAGGGTGCTACTTGTACTGTACTTCCCATGTCTGAATGATCTTGAACAATTTTTTTGAAAATATGTTGAGATGGCTCAGTAGTTTGCTTCTCAGTATCTAGTTTCACACAACCAAAA